TTGGAAGACGGTTAGGTAAGCTTTTCACAGTCTAACCGTCGTATCGTGCGTTTGGAACGCCTACCGAAGCACATGGTCAGCTTAGCACATACTGATGCGTGATCGGATTCGAGGGAGTGCTCCAGTACGGTCGACAGTCTTGAATGCAGCCGCGCCATTTGTGGCTTATCGCTTATCGATCTGCATCCGTCACTGACTCGAGGAGGGCGAACGCCAGGTGGAGTACCGGCAGTTGAACCTTCTGAAGTTCGTACCGGCGAGGAACAGGCGGTGGCCGGGACAGAGTCAACACTCGTTCCCGGTTTTCCGAATCTAGTCCGAAAGGACCACTCAGATGCGCCTCACTGGAAGTCAGTCGGCCTGCCTTAGCCCTGCTCACTGCCTTCTCATGACGGAGGTGTTTCCCCACTAAAGTGAGAGGACGAAAAACCGACATCCGGGGCTATAACCGGGTCGATGGAACACTGGTAGTTCACCTGGGAGTTGGCCAAAAACCCTGATTCCAAACCAACGAAGAGGAGGCATACGAACCACACCTTCCCGGTTTTTTAGGTGGTCACCGGCTCGGTTGAACATCGAGCTGTATTGGGTACCTTGGACGTTTGACTCCGTTCAAAGGGTGTGATCCGATGAACTGGACACCGGCCCCCAATGGATTGCGGTTTTCGCACACCGCCCGGCTACCTTACTGGTCAGGCTTTGGCTAGCCAAAGGCTCCGGTTGTGGATTCTTTAAGAAAATTCACCTGCCTTGGCCTAGGAAATCTGACAGTATTCCGCCCACATGCAAATCATGGAACGTTTTTCTTTTTTTTTATAAAGATTATTGCATCATGGTTTGTTTGGCACACAGTCGATTCAGACGTGTGTGGAAATAAATAAGTAATCTTATGGTCGTGCTTATGGAAAAACGTGTTCCCAAGCATACTGCTTATCATGAAGGGATCGATTTACTGGATTGAAAGAAGAACATTTTTCAAGCAAAAATATCTAGTAGATTTGACCGGTGGCTTCGTGATGGCATCTGTGCTGTTTTATATCCCAATTGTATTATATTTACTAACGACCTTGAGCCAATTGAACTAACTTGCTCGGCCAATTTATAATCTGATGAAGTGTGAAAATTGGACAAATTTGCCGATTGATCGATTGATCGTGGATGCTTCAGTTCTCAGTCTATATAACCATTAAATATACTAAATGCAGCGGTTATTGTTTCTGTCTTTTGGTTGCCCATTTGTATGAGGGAGTGGAAGTAAGATTCGAATGTTGGAAGCAGTGGCAATGTGAAGTTAGATGTAACGGTATCCTGACTTCGCGAGCGTTACTGTTTACGGCACTCAGCCATATCACTCGGTATCTCTTACATCGATCCGATATCCCCATCCGGTGGTTGTGGTCAACTGGTTAGGGTCATCAAAACGTTGACCCGGAAGTCATGGGTTCGAACCGCTCCACCGCTGCCCATCTTCCCCAGTTTTGTATTTGCCCAGATAGCCTTTATATGTCTGCAGTCCCCTTTCTGAAAGTTGATTGTGCATTTGTTTATTCAATAAATAAAATGGGAAGTAAAAAGTCATTTATTTTAATTTTATTTTTATGGAGCTTAACACCACTCATACGACCGAGTCCCCTGGTTTGGTCTTTCCTACCCTCATTCTTAGTTTGACCTTTTGACATCTTCCACCCATTACCTGCCTCAGAAGACGTCAAACATCCAGCCAATCCACATAGTGACATGCATATCACAGGCTTAAACGAACGTAATCTACGGAGGTTGATCATTTTCTCCAGTGGGTAACCGCGATTATCCTGCTTGTCCGGTTTCCTCATCAGACTCATGCCATGTACGCCTCGAACACCGATAGTCTATCCGTATCCAATTACCGTAATGGTCAAGTCTCTGCACTACATAGCAGCATCAGTCTAACTGCTTCAGCATGCACTGGACTTTTTTTAGATGACCATGTGTCATGACGACACCATAAATGTCTTAGATTGGCTAACACCAACCGAGTCTTCCGTATGCGTGCCAAAACGCCATCTGTGATTTATCTTTCAGATGAGATGTGGCTACCAAAATAACAAAATTTGTCTACTTTCTCTAATAACTCAGCGATGAGGGTGAGTTGGGGTGCTGGGCCGACCCAGACCTGTGACATTTTTCCCTTTGAAAATGAAAAGCGCATGGATACAATATCGCTTCCACTATTTATAAAAGCCTACAAATTACCTGCATCATCATTATCATCGAACAGCGAGATACGGTGAAGCGAACTTCACTGATCGCTGCCAAGCTCAC